AATTTGCCGCTCTTTAGCTGCTTACCATAAGGTTGACGGAGAGTGAATTGCCCAAATTACTTAGAATGAATTTTAACTTGATGAAATTTCACCTCGATTAATATAAAATTTGCATAAATTATCCCAAAGCTGAATATTCATATGACCGCCAGGTCACCGACTTGGCAATTCGACGCACCTGAGCTTTCGGTTTACACTTTCTGCCTCAATTTCGCTATTATGAAAGTGTGTGCATATCATGGATTAAGCTTGTTGTTGTTTATGTTAACAGGACACAAAAACAGCTCTTACTTCCTACTTTACGAACACTGCTCTCCTCTGCCTCCTCCTACTGAACTTTCGTATATGTATGTCCATATGTTTGTATGTATGTGTGTATTTATGAAAGTAGCGTCTTCGACTGTTTGCGTATCTTGTGGCCGCAGTGCGGTTATTCTAATTATTCATAATTTTAGGGTCAGCATTTGGCGGACGCTTAACGCCTTTGAATAACTATTTGCCGGCATTTTGCATGTCACTTTAAAGCTCCTACCTGTTACTGTAAATTAATATACATATACATACATATACATATGGACAATTCTCAATTAGTTCGAACTTTCGCATGACTCGCCAGTTTTTATTCGGACACATAGTTTTCACTGGTTTATTAACAAAAATCAGGTTACATATGTTACGCCCCCTTTCCACTTAAAAAAAAAAAAACGCGTTAAAAACGTAGTGTGCATTGCTTTAAAACGTTGCACCACGTTGGATTTTGTATTCTAGCAGCTGAAGAACGTATACTAAAAATTTCAGACATGTGCTCGCGATTTAAATATAAAAAATCTGTTCTCGATAATTTGGGCCCCCACTAACTTTTAAGTTATTTCTTATGTATATACTATATATAAAATCATTCACTCAATGCTAACAAAATAATTTGTAAATTTTCTTAATTAAAAAAGTGAGTATGTGGATCATCCGGTTCTGTTTCAAGTTATTCTCGCTAACTTCAAAATAATTCCACTTAAGAAGAGTAAAAACCTGGCTGTAGTCGACAATAAGCGAAAATGGATTGAACGGTAAACTAATAATTAAATTTATAGTTCAATTGTTTATTACTTTGTCTTTACGCTTGTGTCTTCTAAGTGTACATTAGAGCTGTAAAACAATCGATAGTCATCGCATTCGATGTTTTCGATAGTTTGCATTGAAACTATCGATAGTATCGGATAATTTTAAAATGCATTGACGAAGCTATTTATATAAACTTTTTAGTTTTGTTTAGTTCCTGAATAATTAGCTAATTGTTATATAGCGATTTTCAGTACCGTTGTCCGTTCTCTTCGATTTTTTAAATATTTTAAACTGATAATATAAAAACCTAAAATTCCCAATCGTACGAAAACAAATCGCTTGTAAACGTAAAGAAAACTGTATGTATTACAAATAACTTTCATCACCGCAACCCCGACTACGCCACAGTATTTTTGCGCAGAACTCACTCCAAAATTTACCGAAAAGTCCATATTTCAAGCGTGTGCTACAAACCGTACCCCAACTTCTACATGATTAATTACACAGGCCGACAAAATAAGACCGATCTCCTTACCCAGAAACCAGACTATACTTTCCCGAAGGTTTTTGGTGCGCTGAATTCAAATCTGGCCACAGAATTGCTCTATCACATCAGGATTTTGAGATATTCTAACCTATAAGTGCAAAAAATGCCGTTTTTGCCCATTTTTGAAGTTGTGTATGCAAGCCAGAGTAATTTTTCTCAATAAAATACAAAAAAGGTGTTAGTTAAAGTACAAGTCTTTCTCTTTGAAATGGCGTTGAGTTTGCTCAAATATCTTTTTGCTTCGCTGAGATATTACAATTTGAAGTTTACCGATGAACGTGAACGTGAATTGTTGGTAAAAACGTTGGACCAAATGTTAAAAAAAAAAAAATTAATTTTGGGCGGGACGAAGTCCGCAAGGTCTGCTAGTAATAACACAAAAACCAATTTGGTTTTTTTTTAACTCGTAACTTCAATTCCAGTTCTGCTTAGATACAAAAATTTAAAACCAAAGGTTTGTCTCTACGGGAAGACATTGGTGTTATTGAAGAGATTAAAAATAATTAACTCAAATGGAGGATAACGAATATTTGAAAACAATTAAATTCAGTCCTGAAAAGAAATTAAGGTTCCATATCTTAGTGTAATACATCCGCATTATTTTTAATAATAGTAAAAAAGTGACAACTAAATCGATGCACTAACACCACTGGAAATATGAAAATTTCGAATTCCGTCCAATCCTTGAAATAAACTGAATAAAAACAAAACATTAAACTGTACTTAGATTTTTTGTTGTTTTTCGAGCATATTTGGAAGCATATTTACTAATCTTTTAATGTTCATTAGGCTGGGTCGATTTTGTATGGGGGAAAATAAAAGTCATTTGACCGCATTGTAATAGTAATATTATGATGTCTTAGGTCTCAACCAATTGTTATTGGCTACGAAAGATTAATTTAAAACTTATCTTTAGCCCGCGCAATTGAATCAAAGTGCATGAATTTCGAAAATGAGACTTTGGCTTGTAATATCTATGGAATGCGTTATTGTTATAAACAGGACGATATATCAAATTAAGGGCTATTAAATTTAGAACCTCACGTTCATTTATCATTTTTCAATAAGTCTACACGATTTTAAGATATTAAAATAAAAAATAAGAAAACTATGATTTTCCCATATGAATTTTCAATTCTTCATTACTTCAGCAACCAAGTGAAAAATACAAAAAAGTTGGACGAGATTTATTTCAAACCTTTTAATGTTTATATAATATTAAAATGACCATGGACTTGGTCACGCCGATTTGGTCAGTTTTCAAGATCGTGGTGAATGAATGTATTGTCAAAGATTAGGAATCGTTCGACAAGTTAATAGTAGTTTCAAACATATAAGTATTTACATACATTACAATTAGGTTGAGAAACGCCTATTTTAAGTCCATTTTTGCAGTCTTAAAAACTGGTGCGGAATGGTTTCATTAGTCGCCGCAGAAGCACATTTTTCGCGGTTTCTAAATTTGCCGTTATATGAAAGTAGGGGACGTGCAATAAGTGTTTAGATATACATAAATATTTTAGTTAATTCCATTATGTGAAAAAGTGTCTGTAGGTAAATCCAATAGTTTTCAACATATCCTGGGAAATCCTTTTGAGGACTCTCCAATTGGACGATATTGCTTTGCATTCAGCTTGAACGAAAAAAGTCACTCGCTGGCACAGTTTTCTGTAATCCGGTTCTTTTATTTAAAGGTTATTTATACAATTGAAGAGAAATTTTTTTAGAAAAAAAACTGGAAATCCACTTAAGCTTTTCGATATAACTTTGGTAAATGTTACTCGATCGGTGCGTAATAATTAACAAATTGAAGGCGAGACTTAATGTTACTGATTTTTGATAATAATATGACTAAAATAGTTCAGATTATAAACAAATTATTTTAAAATAAAAAAAATCTTGAACAAAATTTTTTATCATTTTCTTATATTTGCAATTTTTATATTGTATGCATAAACATAAGTAAACCAATTAGTGTGTCTAGAAGTTGTGCCTGTTCAGTGTTTCCATACTAATTTGCATAAACAAAATTTTTCCGCGATGATGGAAAATAATGGCTATTCTATTAGAGCTACCGAAATTGTTCCTAAATTTGCAAAAAATCGCAAACTATAGCTAATATTAAAAAAGGATTAGAATATTTGGAACTAGCGATCTAAATGCACGCCAGCAATATTAATGTTGTTCTTTACATCTTTTGACTAAAGGCCAATGCAATTATCAAGAGAACAATTAAAATTTTCTTGAAAATAGATGAGTTTGAGATTAACGATAAGATAAACGGCTACGCGAAATGATACTTGACTTTATCTTTTGCGGTAAAGGATTCATTATCTAATAATATGCACCAAAAGTTTTGGCTAAACCCAGAATTTTTAACAAGAATTGGTCTTATTCGACTAGTGTGCTGTGGGTCACTTGGCGGTCGATGCGCGGGCTCTTACAATTAAAATGAAAGACTAATATTTCGCAGGCTTGTTGTTGACTTCATGATACAATATATTTTCACTATTACCAAGGGATTTGAGAAAAATTAGATTTTCGACCCGCCCTAATGTTCATCTAATGTTCTTTTAATGTACAATAGTGTCTCAGAGGTGGTCCCATACTAATCTGGTTAAGATCCGATCAGTGGATGATGATATGTATATATATATATATATTTTTTTTTATATGAGAATACTTGTAAATCAAAGAAATGCAAAGAATTCGAATTTTGTGTGCGTGGCATGCATTAAAAAGGTATTGTAGGTATTGAGGTTAAATTGTTTTGAAGTTGCACTTATGAAGGTCAGTCACACAGTGTTATTATCCCGACGAAATCCTTGACGGTGATACCGGGAGGGGAAAGGTACATGCCAGTAGGAGGTTTAGTTTGGGTTAAAGTCTCACACTAACGGGGTTAGGCTTTCGAAGCTTCCTTCTCGTAAAAAAACATGTGCTGTGAAAAGTTAATTATTTAAATCGACGAATAGTTTTATATCAACTTTTGTGAACTTCTATTTATGTGTTTGTGTACAACATACCTCTATTATTTACAATAATTTTAAGCTATAATAACAATTTTTTAGTAATAATTATTGGGTTTGAAAAAAAAAATAATTTTAGGGGGCCCCCCCCCCCCCCCTAAATTTCGTTCTGGCTCTACGAATTATTGTCACGAATATTTGTTGTCATCTCATGCTAATATGATTTTGGTGAATAAATGTTTGTATGTTTGTACATATGTACAAGATGCCAACATACATATGTACATATGTAAGTCAATGCATTTTGCATATTTGTATAAACGAGTACTTGCATTGTACATTTGTGCATATATAAATTTATATATTATTTATTCCATTTCGCACATCTCTGAATCACTGAATTAGAGTTGAATTTAATTTTACAGCGGAAGGTGCATTTAAGAAGCTAAAGCCAGAACCTAATACGGGCCTCTCGACGGCTTCCGGCAGCGTTACGTCGCCCGGAAACGGTTTATCATCGTTAAGTCAACATGCCAGCCATACACCGACCACAGCATCCTGCCCGACGCCAGCGAGGCGAAGACATCGGACGACGTTTACACAGGTCAGTTATGCAAATCTTGTACAAATCAAATCTAATCTAAATCTAACCTAGGTATGTATATACACACATGTACATACGTATTTATATACATACATAGGAACATGCCCTGTAGGAAATGTATCTAACTATCAGTTAACTTGAAGTTGATTGGAGAGGAACTAAAGGTCACTGTTATCTGTATATTTTCTTTGAGGAAAGCTAAGTATATTTCTATAGCGATGGCCACGAAACAGTCAAGGGTGGTTATCCCTGCATTAGAAATCAACTAACTTGTAACTAACCACTTTTGGACATAAAATATCAATAAGAAGAATATAATTTATTTACTTTATTTAACAGTACATATTTGTTTACATATTCTGCTGTAAGTGGTCCCACATTCGAATTCCGTCAGAAATAACTTCAAAATGATAATACAAAATTTCGATCTTCAATTTATTTGTCCTGATTTCGAAAAAAGTATTTGTGAAGTGCAGAAAAAAGTGTATTCAAAGTAAAATTTGTATGAGTTGAAACTTGCTATGTGTTAATTGCACAGTCGTCGAAGTTTCTCACATTTTGCATGTGAAAGCTGAAAATTAAATGTACAACTTTACCTTTTTAACCGACTTCCAAAAAAGGAGGAGGTTATCAGTTCGTTGGAATATTTTCTCTTTTTTTATGTATGTTACCGCATAACTTTGGACCACGTCAACCGATTTCGATAATTCTTATTGCATCGGAAAGGTAGTGTCCCATACTAATCTGGTTAAGATCCGATCAGTGGATCATGAGATATATATATATATATATTTATTTATTATTATTTATCGGAGTTGAAGTCGGTTTTTTTTGCTAAAAATTACTTGTTTAATAATAAGAACAAATGTATAAATTCTCACTTCTCGTACAATTTGAAAGTAGCTCCGCGTGGAGACCTCCGCCCCGTTCAGAACGAGTTCAAAAGTTCAGAGGGGCAATTGCCACTTCGTAGGATATCGCCATCTTAAAAACTATATCGTCGATGTTTTTGCAATACCGCCCATCGACCAATTGCCGCCTATTTTACGGCACTCCAATTTCACAGGATAGCGAAAAACCGGGGTTTCTTTGAAGGCATTGCCTTGATAGCCGGTACACTGAGGGAAATAATGCATAGTAAATATGAATACTTTATATTTGATTATCGTTTAAAAATGTTCGTATTTAAAAATAATATTTTCATACAAAATTTATTACGCACGTATTTGACTGTTCACATCTGAGTATGTACATGTAAGTGTACATATGCACCCCAATTTGCCGGATTGAATCGCTTTAAAAATTTAGAAAATAGGCTATTTTACATCCAAGTACATAATTACAAATATTTTAACAGGAAACAGGCTCAATTTTTGCTTTTATATTAAAATAATAATGATGTCTTGATATAAGCATTTGTAAGATAGCTTCGAAAATGTATTTTTGCCGGATTTAATCGCTTTAAAAATTTAGAAAATAGGCTATTTTACATCCAAGTACATAATTACAAATATTTTAACAGGAAACAGGCTCAATTTTTGCTTTTGTATTAAAATAATAATGATGTTGCAGCCACAAAGTTTTCGTGCAAATGAAAATGTAGCTGTCAAACTACCAAATTGCCGGCAATAGATGGCAAGATATAAGCTCTGATATATATTGCTCTTGAAGAGCAATGAGCGGTCTCCATTGGCTATTTATATTCTATATCTTGTGGAGACGGGCAGTAACGTACATTCATATGTAAATATGTATTTATGTATGTATGTAGGTTGCAAAATTTTTTTTATCCATTATCATTACAAAAAAAAATATAAAAGGCATTAACTAATCAATATGTATATACATATATGTACAAGTACATACATATCTAAATTTAACAGGTCTGAAAGCGTAGCATTTGTGGTGAAAATAACAAAATTATTGCCAAGTGCTGCCTGCTGCACCAACAGGCATCGCTGGCCACATGACTGCCTGCGCAACATTCCCTACATTCGTAACATTTATTAGCTTGCTCGTTCACTCATGGATGGCCATGGCCGATCGGTGACCAAAAATACAAGATCACGTAAGAACGCGACGTTGTATTTGTAACTGGTTTTGAGAAAAAAGTTTGCGAAAGCGGGTTCGTCAGCTGAGCGTTTGTTTACATAACAAGCACCACTATTTTACACTTTTATTCAAGTAAAGAAGAGTTAATTCAACATGACAACACATTTTAAAGCATTTTGTTGCATCATTTTACCTAAATTGTGCGTTTAAAGTGGCTGACAATAATTTTGGCTAATTTTGGTTTTCGTTGTTTTCTTTGCTTTGTTTACTTTTCGCTCGTTTTCCAGTGAAACAAGATGGCGTAGAACCCGCTAAAAAAATCGACTTTTTTCACTCTTTTGTTCTTACGTGATCTTGTGTCTTTCTTTCGTGCAATTGAAATACTTATGACTTAGGGTTTTTTATGTATGTGTTACTTAAATTTATTTATATTTTACTTATATGTATGTACATACATATACATATAGTAATTTAGCCTCATTTATCAAAAATTCAATTAACGCACATGGCTTGGATGCATTTATCCGCGATGTGCACACTGCAAGCATCAACACAAAATGAGGTTGTTGTTTTTGTTTCCAATGCGATGCTCGCAAACCACGCTACAAACGACGAGCATGCTCGCTGAAAATCAAAATTTTTTGATTTTTGGCGAGCATGCGCACAAACCGCCCTACAAACGACGAGCATGTGCGCATGTGCGCGGATATGCGTCGCTAGGAGATGATTTCCAGTGTTGCCAGAACTTTTCAGGGCGACCGGCTAGATTGGACAAAAAAAAACGGCTAAAAACGGCTAAAATGTTTCAACCAGAATTAAATTTTTTTTTAAATATGTACATAAACCACAATTAGAAAGACTAGTAAATGCATTGAATTTTTTTTTTTGGTTAATAAAGATTATTTATACGTAGCTAAGCTGTACACCACTTTATTTTTGTTTAACAAAGGAAACTGTCGTTATACGTAGCTAAGCTTTACATCAGAAGTCATGTTTGTATTCTTCTTCTTCTTCTTTTTTTGGCGCTGTAACCACCTAAGCGATTTTGGCCGAGTTCAGCAAAGCACGCCAGTCGTTTCTCATCCGTGCCAACTGACGCCAATTGGAAACGCCAAGTGAAGCCAAGTCCTTCTCCACCTGATCTTTCCATCGCAGTGGGGACCTCCGTCTTCCTCTGCTACCACCAGCGGGTTCCGAGTTGAATACTTTCAGAGCTGGAGCGTCGGTGTCCATTCCAACGACATGACCAAGCCAGCGGAGCCGCTGCATTTTAATTCGCTGCACTATGTCCATATCGTTGTAAAGCTCATACAGCTCATCGTTCCATCGTCTGCGGTACTCGCCGTCGCCAACGCGTAAAGGACCGTAAATCTTCCGCAAAATCTTTCTCTCAAACACCCCAAGAGCCGCCTCACCGGATGTTGTCATTGTCCATGCTTCTGCGCCATATACCAGCACGGGCATGATGAGTGACTTATAGAGCGTGGTTTTCGTACGTCGAGAGAGGACTTTACTCCTGAATTGCCTACTCAGTCCAAAGTAGCACTTGTTGGCAAGAGTGATTCTACGTTGGATTTCAATGCTGACATTATTATCGGTGTTAATGCTGGTTCCCAAGTAAACGAAATTCTCTACTTTCTCGAAATTGTAACTGTCAACAGTGACGTGGGTGCCAAGGCGCGAATGTGCTGACTGTTTGTTTGATGACAGGAGATACTTCGTCTTGTCCTCGTTTACCACCAGACCCATGCGCTTTGCTTCCCTATCCAACTTGGAAAAGGCAGAACAGACTTCGCGGTTTTTGTTACCGATGATGTCGATGTCATCGGCATAAGCCAGCAATTGCACGCTCTTGTAGTAAATTGTTCCTGAGCGGTTCAGTTCTTCAGCTCTTATTATCTTCTCCAACATCAGATTAAAGAAGTCACATGAAAGGGAGTCGCCCTGTCTGAAACCCCGTTTTGTGGCGAACGGCTCGGAGAGGTCTTTTCCAATTCTGACGGAGCTGGTGGTATTGCTCAACGTCATTTTACACAGCCGTATGAGTTTTGAGGTGATGCCAAATTCAGACATAGCGGCGTATAGGCAACTCCTTTTAGTGCTGTCAAAAGCGGCTTTAAAGTCGACAAATAGGTGGTGAGTGTCGATCCTTTTCTCGCGGGTCTTTTCCAAGATTTGGCGTATTGTGAATACCTGGTCTATGGTGGATTTGCCAGGTCTAAAGCCACACTGATAAGGCCCAATCAGTTCATTGACGGTGGGCTTCAGTCTTTCACACAATACGCTCGATAAGACCTTGTAACCTATGCTTAGAAGGCTGATCCCGCGGTAGTTGGCGCGAATGGCGGGGTCACCTTTCTTGTGGATTGGGCAGAGCACACTTAAATTCCAGTCGTCGGGCATGCGTTCATCTAACCATATTCTGCACAAGAGTTGATGCATGCACCTTATCAACTCCTCGCCGCCGTACTTGAATAGCTCAGCTGGCAGGCTGTCAGCTCCAGCGGCTTTGTTGTTTTTCAGCCGCGTTATTGCTGTACGTACCTCGTCATAGTCAGGCGGTGGAACGTCGACTCCGTCATCATCGACTGCGGGCTCGGGTTCTTCTTCTCCACAACTTTCCGTGCTGCTACCATTTAGTAGGGCGGAAAAGTGTTCCCTCCATAATTTAAGTACGCTCTGGACATCAGTTACTATGTCGCCATTATTGTTCTAACAGGAGTGCGCCCCGGTCTTTAAACCTTCCGTAAGTCGCCTAACTCTCTGGTAAAATTTTCGGGCATTCCTCCTGTCGGCCAGCATTTCAAGCTCTTCGCACTCACGTATTTCTGCCTCTCTCTTCTTGTTGCGGCAAATACGTCTCGCTTCCCTCATCCGAGGCTTTGCCTTGCTTCTTCACTGGAAGTGGTTTTTACGTGGCGGGTGCCAAGCCCAGCGCACAACCCATT